AGGTGCGCGCCACCACGCCTGGCTAACTTTTGTATTTTTAGTAGAGACAGTGTCACCATTTTGGTCAGGCTGGTCTCAAACTCCTGACCTTGTGATCTGCCCACCTCAGCCTCCCAAAGTGCTGGGATTTCAGGCATGAGCCATCGTGCCCAGCCATACTTCCCAATCTTAACATTGAACAGGAGAATAGTGTGCCTCACATGGCAGAGGGATTAAGGGAAATAATTTTGGAAAAGTGCTAGAATTGTTGCCTAAGAGACTCACATTAAATGCTAGCATGCTTTCCCTTTTGCCTTCCTGACAGGTTTGGAAATAAAGGGAAAATAGTCACCCAAGGGCCACCTAACAATCAAATATTACTAACTTTAGAATATTTCTTTTCTTTTTCTAAAAATTTTATTTTTTGAGATTCTCACTCTGTTACTTAGGGTATAGTGCAGTGGCACCATCACAGCTCACTGTGCCCTGGAACTCCCAGGCTCAATCAATCTTCTCACCTCAGTCTCATAAGTAGCTTGTACTACAGGTGTGTGCCACCACACCTGGCTAATTTTTCTATTTTTTTGTAGAGATGGAGTTTCACCATGTTGCCCAGATTGGTCTCTTTTTTTTTTTTTTTTTTTTTTTTTTGAGACGGAGTTTCGCTCTTGTTACCCAGGCTGGAGTGCAATGGCGCGATCTCGGCTCACCGCAACCTCCGCCTCCTGGGTTCAGGCAATTCTCCTGCCTCAGCCTCCTGAGTAGCTGGGATTACAGGCACGTGCCACCATGCCCAGCTAATTTTTTGTATTTTTAGTAGAGACGGGGTTTCACCATGTTGACCAGGATGGTCTCGATCTCTCGACCTCGTGATCCACCCGCCTCGGCCTCCCAAAGTGCTGGGATTACAAGCTTGAGCCACCGCGCCCGGCCTCAGATTGGTCTCTTAACTCTTGGGCTCAAGCAGTCCACCCACCTCAGCCTTCCAAAGGACAGATGTAAGCCTCCACACCTGGCCTCTGTTCTTTATAATAGCTGTATTAATGATATTTTGAAAATGATATTATGGAGCCAGGTGTGCTGCCTCATATCTGTAATCCCAGTGCTTTGGGAGGCCAAAGTGGGGGCATTGCTTGAGGCCAGGAATTCAAGATCAGCTTGGGCAAGATAGCAAGACCCTGTCTCTATAAAAAAAAATAAAATTAGCCAGACACAAATAACAAAATTAGTACGTACCTGTGTTCCTAGCCACTGAGGAGGCTGGGAGGCATTTGAGGTTACAGTGAGCTATGATTGCACAACGCACTCCAGCCCAGGTGACAGTGAGCTGCCGTCTTAAAGGTAGGCCATTTGATATTATAAAAATATTTGCTATCATAAAATGAATAATAAAAATACTTTCTTGTCGTTAGCAAGGTATCATAAGCAATCTTTGTTATTTCGTAGCCTGTCTGACGAGCATCTCTCATGGTGGCATAAAGGTCTGTCAAATAAATACGGCCTGATTTATTTGACTTTCCTGTTAATAGGCAGTTAGGTGAACTCCCAAGTTTTTGCCCTGTCATTGCAGTTGAACATCTGACTGCATAAATATTTTAGATTATTCTTAGAAAAACTTGTTATGGCTTAAGACCTTCATGTCTGAGGATTATTACATTTAAGGAGTGGTTACTGTCCCACCAAAAATCAGTATTTGCTCATGTGGGATGACCTCCAAGTTACATTGTTCAGTGAAGAAAGCATGCCATGGAATGCTTTTTTTTTTTTTTTTTTTTTTTTTTTGAGACGGAGTTTCGCTCTTGTTACCCAGGCTGGAGTGCAATGGCGCGATCTCGGCTCACCGCAACCTCCGTCTCCTGGGTTCAGGCAATTCTCCTGCCTCAGCCTCCTGAGTAGCTGGGATTACAGGCATGCGCCACCATGCCCAGCTAATTTTTAGTATTTTTAGTAGAGACGGGGTTTCACCATGTTGACCAGGATGGTCTTGATCTCTTGACCTTGTGATCCACCCGCCTCGGCCTCCCAAAGTGCTGGGATTACAGGCTTGAGCCAGCGCGCCCGGCCTGGTTGTGCTTTTAATACACAGATTATCTACCAGAAGGTAGAGAAGAAAGTGGCTCAGAACCACTGCCTCTGGGAAAGAGAGCTATGGGAATGGGCAGGGCAGGGTGAGAGGAAGCCCCGCTTTTCACTCCATACCTTCCTTTATCCAGATTTTTGGTCGTGTATATGTTTTACCTATTTTAAATTGAATACAGATTTTTAAAATTTTTGGTATAATCTGCTGTTTTCTCAAAAGGTACAAGAATAGTACAAAAAAATTCATGGCTATCCTTCACCCAGGTTTCCTGATACATTTTTGAACAGGTTTTTTTTAAATACCAAAAGACAATTTTCTTTTTTTTTCTAAAGTGTGGGTTCCAGCAGAGACGGGTAAGGCAGGAGCTACTATGCCATTTTGCATATGAGGAAACAAACTCAGAGTGGTACATCAGCTTGCCTTCCAGCAAGTTAGTAGTGGCAGGGTTGGGCCAGACTTCAGCTACTGTTAACACAGGGACAACTAAGTTACTTTTAACACAGCAGTGATTTATGTTATACCCAGTTTTTTTTGTTTTTTTGTTTTTTGAAGTAACGGACTTGACAGAATTGGATTAGATTGAGTTCAAGTGAATTGGATTCCTCAATTAAAGTAATTTATCTTTTCTGGGATTCATGTTTTTGTTGTTGTTGTTGTTGTTTTTGTTGTGTTAGTGTCTTGCCGCTTTGCCCAGGCGAGAGTGCAGTGGTGCGAATCATGGCTCACTGCAGCCTCAACCTTCTGGGCTCAAGTGATCCTTCCACCTCAGCCTCCTGAGTACGTGGGACTATAGGCACATGCCACTGTACCTAGCTAACTTTTTTATTTTTTGAATAGATAATGTCTCAGAGTTTTGACCAGGCTGGTCTTGAATTCCTGGATTTAAGTGATACTCCCACCTTAACTTCTCAAAGTGCTAGGACTACAGGCATGAGCCATCACGCCCAGCTTGATATTCATTTTAACCTCAAGCTGTTCTTGGATTTCTGAAAATTCTGAGTAACCGTTGGCTTGGTCAGAACAGTAACATGAGCTGTGATGACCCAGTTGGAAGTCTCAAACACTCCTGGCCCATTTCTCTTACCAGATCTGCCCCTTGAAGGCACCTGGCCTTCTCCTCCCAGAAGAGGTAGCCAGGAGCAATTTATAAGAGTATTTCCTGCACTATCCTCAATTCCTTCTGAGATAAAATATCTGTTAAGGGAGAGAGAGGATTTATTAAATTGTATTTTGAAAACTTGAATTAAAATGGTACTATAAAATTGTACCTCCTCTCATCCAGTAGGGGGCACCATTTCCTCACATTTTCTCATCTCTAAGGTCAGACGTGATCCCTTTAATTGTCGTTATAATAAAAAAGCTTTATTATAGTCACAGTAGTAGTACATAGTCAATAATTATAAAATACAGGCAGAGAGAAGAAAAATTTGAAATCCCTTAGTGCAATACAGAGTTGATAGATTATAGCTACTAACGCTGCAACTACTAATAGATTACAACTAATATGTATCCTTCTAGACTTTTTTCTAATGGCTCTATATCCTCAAAAATAAATTTATGTATTTATTGAAGTATAACAATACAGAGGAGTACACCAATCTTAGGTGTACAACTTGATGAATTTTCATAGAATAAATACAGCCGGTAACTACCACCCAGATCAAGAAATGAAACATTTAAAAAAATCTGGCCAGACACGATGGCTCATGCCTGTAATCCCAGCACTTTGGGAGGCCGAGGTGGGTGGATCACGAGGTCAGTAGTTCAAGACTAGCCTGGCCAACATGGTGAAACTGTGTCTCTACTAAAAATATAAAAATAAGCTGGGCATGGTGGCATGTGCCTGTAGTCCCAGCTACCCCCGAGGCTGAGGCAGGAGAATTGCTTAAACTGGGACTCAGGAAGCAGAGGTTGCACTGAGCTGAGATCACACCACTGCGCTTCAGGCTTGGTTACAGAGTGAGACTCCGTCTCAAAAAAAAAACAAAAAAAAAACTTCAAAGGCCTTTCCTGCCTCTTTACTATCACTGCCTTCCCCCAGAGATAACCAGTGTCCCAACTTCTAAGACAAGAGAAAAATTTCACCTGGTTTCCTATTATGTAAGTGAAATCATATCCTATATACTCTTGCATCTGGCTTGCTTCGTGCTCCATTATGTTAGTAATGTTTATCCATGTTGTTGTGTGCTATGGTAGTTCATTCGTTTTTGTTGCTGTGTTTTATTTTTATTTATTTATTTTTTTTTTGAGACGGAGTTTCGCCCTTGTTACCCAGGCTGGAGTGCAATGGCGCGATCTCGGCTCACCGCAACCTCCGCCTCCTGGGTTCAGGCAATTCTCCTGCCTCAGCCTCCTGAGTAGCTGGGATTACAGGCACGCACCACCATGCCCAGCTAATTTTTTGCACTTTTAGTAGAGACGGGGTTTCACCATGTTGACCAGGATGGTCTTGATCTCTCGACCTTGTGATCCACCCGCCTCGGCCTCCCAAAGTGCTGGGATTACAGGCTTGAGCCACTGCGCCCGGCCTGCTGTGTTTTATTTTATGAATTTGTCACAATCATACATACCATGGGTCAGCAAACTTTTCCCTAAAGGTCCAGATAGTAAATATTTTAGGCTTTGTGGCCTATACAATGCCTTTCACAACTACCTAACTCTGCAATTGTAGTTCAAAAGCAGCCGTAGACAATATGTAAGGAAATAGGCATGGCTGTGTTCCAATAAAACTTTATTTACAAAAAATAGGGGCTAGTCTGGATTTGGCAGTAGCTTCAAACTACTGCTTTACTATTTTTTTTTTTTTTAAAAAGCAAAAGTCATACTATGTGATTACATTTCTTGAGATTTCATAAGTAGCTGGTTGCAGCTTATCACTTTCCTGTGAAAGGAATTCCAGGAAGTAAACTAACAGCTGGGTACTCTTTCTTCTTTATTGTAGTCTCTGGCAAACATAGACGAAGTCGTGAACAAAATTAGGCTGAAAATAAGGTGAGTAACATTGTATGATTGTTAATAATTAATGAAAAGTATTCCATGAGAGCACTGAAATCTCAAGTTTGCCATAGATGGTAATACAATTTTTAAAAATTTTATATTTATTTAGTTTTTTGAGACGAAGTTTTGCTTATTGCCCAGGATGGAGTGCAGTGGTGTGATCTTGGTTCACTGCAACCTCAACCTCCTGGGTTCAAGTGATTCTCCTGCCTCAGCCACCCAAGTAGCTGGGATTATAGGCATGAGCCACCATGCCTGGCAAATTTTGTATTTTTAGTAGAGTCAGGGTTTCATCATGTTGGCCAGGCTGGTCCCGAACTCCTGACCTCAAGTGATCTACCCACCTTGGCTTCTCAAGGTGCTGGGATTACAAGAGTGAGCCACCTCGCCTGGCCATATAATTCTTTTATCTGTATGAACTTTGTGGCAAGGAACTCAATTTGGCCAGTCTTCATTCAGTTATTCATACAAAAGGAAGGAAGCTGTGACAGAGTCTATTCAAAACAGCTTTTGTAATTGTAGAAGAAGGCAAAAGCTTTTCTAATAGATTTTCTTTATTTTTTTGAGACGAGGTCTTACTTTGTGTCCCAGTCTGAAGTGCAGTGGTACAGTTACAGCTCAGTGTAGCCTCAAACTCTTGGGCTCAAATGATCCTCCCACCTCAGCCTCCTGAATAGCTGTGACTACAGTTGTACACGACCACGCCCGGCTAATTTTTGTATTTTTTGTAGAGATGGGGTTTTGCCTTGTTGGCTAGGCTGTTCTTGAATTTCTGAGTTCAAGCGATATGCCTGCCTCAGTCTCCCACATCTACTAGATTTTTTTTTTTTTTTTTTTTTTTTTTTTTTTGAGATGGAGTCTGGCTCTGTCACCCAGGCTAGAGGGCAGTGGCATGATCTTGGCTCACTGTAACCTCTGCCTCCCAGGTTCAAGCAGTGTTTGTGCCTCAGCCACCCACATAGCTGGAATTACAGGCCTGTAGCACCATGCCCGGCTGATTTTTGTATTTTTAGTAGAGGCAGGGTTTCATTGTGTTGGCCATGCTGGTCTTGAGAACTCCTGGCCTCAAGTCATCTGCCCCCCTTGGCCTCCCAAAGTACTGGTTTTACAGACGTGAGCCACCATGCCCGACCTTCTACTAGATTTTCAATGGATTTGTTTCCGTTTTTGTATTCCCAAGGCTTAGAGATGAAGATGGCCTTATATGTATATCCCTTGGTCACATAACAGCTAGCAATGTCAGGTCTGCTGGTGGGTTTGGTGGTGGCCCATGATTAAACATTGTGAGCCATGGGGGAAGAGAAGCTGGGAGTCGTAGATCTGTCTCAGACATAGATTGCATGACCAGAGCCCAGAGCGGGAAGATTCCCTCTATCACCCTGGCTCTTTCTGCCTTATGAGGACTGAGGAATGGATTTTGCGTGAGATAATTTAAGTTCTCTGGCGTGTTCATGTAAAGGCTCAGGAACTTTGTCATTCTTGATTTACTCCATGAAAAATACTGCAGGTTTTATTATTCCTTTTAGAGAGCCCTGAATATTAAGTAAAACAAGCCATTTTTAAAAACAAGGCGAAGCAGCCAGACATGGTGGCTCATGCCTGTAATCCCAGCACTTTGGGAGGCCGAGGTGGGCAGATCACAAGGTCAGGAGTTTAAGACTATCCTGGCCAACATGGTGAAACCGTGTCTCTACTAAAAATACAAAAAAAAATTAGCCAGACATGGTGGTGGGCGCCTGTAATCCCAGCTACTTGGGAGGCTAAGGCAGGAGAATTGATTGGATCCAGGAGGTGGAGGTTGCAAAAAAAAAAAAAAAAAAAAAAAAAAAAAAAACCACAAAAGAAACAAGCCGAGGCATTCGTCTGCGCTAGGCTTGGCTTCCCTCACTGCTATTGCTGCCCCCCTCCTACCTGATATCACTCACACATGTTTGGTTTTTGGGACAATTAGGTGCAGTTTGCAGAAGCTGGTGGATAAATTTGTTATTTTTTTTCTTTTGGTTAGCCTAGAGTAAAGATTATTTGAATGACTGTATCCCTGAACTTTTTTGCCAGGAGACTGGATGACAATATTCGAACTGTTGTAAGAGGTCAGACGAACGTGGGGCAGGATGGACGGCAAGTAAGTAACTTATTCCCCCATATTACATGTATTCTCCCAGCAGCCAGATGACCAAAACATTGATGTGCCTTCTTGCAGCGCACTTTCTGATTGATGGTTTCACACACACGCGGCAGGACAGGACAGGCAAACAGGCGCCCAGAGCAGCCCTGTGCTGTCACTTAGTGTCCACTGGACCAGGATCATATACTGTGGCACAGCTCACTCGGGGCCAGGGGCCTGCAGGCCAGATGAGAACTCTGGAGTTTCCTCGTCTTTCTCTTTAGTGCCGGATAGCTCCCTTATTTTGTGGGCTGTAGCTAAATGAGGTTGCTGCATTTGTCAGCTAAGTTGTTGGCATTTACATATTACTTTTGTGGCTGCAAAAGATAGTAACCCGACATAGTTATGATTCTTTGTACCTCACTTTGTCAGCAGGCAGTTAACTCAAGAATCATTTAAAAATTTTACAAGTTGACCTGGCACAGTGGCTCACTCTTGTAATCCCAGCATGTTGGGAGGCTGAAGCAGGTGGATCAGTTGAGGCCAGGAGTTCGAGACCAGCCTCGCCGACATGGCAAAACCCTATCTCTACTAAAAATACAAAAATTAACCAGGTGTGGTTGTGCGCTCCTGTAATCTCGGCTACTTGGGAAGCGGAGGCGTGAGAGTCACTTGAACCTGGGTCAGGGAGGTTACAGTGAGCCAAGATTGCACCACTGCACTCCAGCCTGGATGATAGAGTGAGACTCTGTCTCAAAAAAAAAAAAAGTTTTGTAAGTCTTACTGGATCTAGTTAAGGAGGGCTGTTTGAAGGGAAGCAAGTGTTTAGGGAGGAGATATTCTTCAATCATTGAGGGGCCAGATGTTATCCGTCAACCATTTTCTTTTTTCCTTGATTCTGTTCTTCTGTGGAGGCATTGTATTTCAGAAATTGCTGTCATCGTAGAGACGCTGCTCATGCCTTTCTAGTCTTCCTCTCTTACCATGTCTAGTCCTCCCTTTTCAGTGATAATTCAGTTAGGTCAGGAGTGTACCTTTACAGTTGCTTCAGTTCTGTTATTTCTCCTCTTGGACATTTTTTAGGACAGCTAATTTCTTTTTTTTTTTTTTTTTTTTTTTTTTGAGACAGAATTTCGCTCTTGTTACCCAGGCTGGAGTGCAATGGTGTGATCTCGGCTCACCGCAACCTCCGCCTCCTGGGTTCAGGCAATTCTCCCGCCTCAGCCTCCTGAGTTGCTAGGATTACAGGCACGCACCACCATGCCCAGCTAATTTTTTGTGTTTTTAGTAGAGATGGGGTTTCACCATGTTGACCAGGATGGTCTTGATCTCTTGACCTTGTGATCCACCCACCTCCCAAAGTGCTGGAATTACAGGTGTGAGCCACCGCGCCCGGCCAGGACAGCTAATTTCTAAAAATACTCATGATGCTGCCCACATTTGGAGTGGGAGGAGGGTATAATCCCCACTTGAAATTTCCAGATCTCTGATATTTCTGTTTCCTCTGCTAGTGGCTTAGAGATGTTAGGAGTCTCTTTTGAGTTTTGTTTTTTTTTTTTTTTTTGAGCTGGAGTTTCGTTCTTGTTGCCCAGGCTGGAGTGCAATGGCGCGATCTCGGCTCACCGCAACCTCCGCCTCCTGGGTTCAGGCAATTCTCCTGCGTCAGCCTCCTGAGTAGCTGGGATTACAGGCACACGCCACCATGCCCAGCTAATTTTTAGTGTTTTTAGTAGAGACGGGGTTTCACCATGTTGACCAGGATGGTCTCGATCTCTTGACCTTGTGATCCACCCGCCTCAGCCTACCAAAGTGCTGGGATTACAGGCTTGGGCCACCGTGCCCGGCAGCACTTTCTTTTTCCACTTCATCGTCTCTTTCCATTTGATAGCCAGTTTCCTTTGGCCTGTTTGTAAGGAGTTGGCCTTCTTGTCATCATCAGAATCTGTGTGTAGGCACATTAGATTCCTGAAACTCTTCCTGTTTTCTGGACTCTGGCGTGAGTTTTAGTCCTCATGTCCTCGTTTTTGTCTGTTGAGGTAAGCTTCGTGAAGCTTGGCTTCTTTGGCAGATGAGCCCCATGTAATGGGGCCTTCGGAGGGGTCATAATGAGTGACAGGGTAGCTTCAAGCATTCCAGCTGCATTCTGCTGCTTCAGTTTCCTGATAGATGTTTGATTGTGTTGTCTGGCTCTTCAGACACCTCATCAGCTCTGGCTACCAAATGAAATCCAAGGCCAGGCGTGATGGCTCACACCTGCAATCCCAACACTTTGAGAGGCCAAGGCAGGGAGATCACGTGATCCCAGGAGTCAAGACCAGGCTGGGCAACATGACGAAGCCCCACCTCTACAAACAGTACAAAATTAGCTGGGCATGGTGGTGGCCTGTGCCTGTAGTCCCAGCTACTAGAAGGCTGAGGTGGGAAGATCAACGGAATCAAGGAATTCGTGGCTGCAGTGAGCCGTGATTGCACCACTGCACTCCAGCCTGGGAATCACAGTGAGACCCTGTTTCAAAAAAAGAAAAGAAAAGGAAGAAATCCAGATTCCTTTGCTTGGCATTGAAAATTTTGGTCTCCATTTCCGGTTTTGTCTCCCGTTGTGTTCTGTCTATACTGAAGACTTCGTGCTCTACCAGCATGGCTGTCCGTTGTGTTCTGTCTGTGCTGAAGACTGTGCTCTCTGGGGGCCTGTGCTTCCATACTGCTTTGTGCTTGAAATGCTTTTTCTCCTATTTCTTTCAGCAGCTGCATTTCCAAATCTTACCCATCCAAGGGCCAGCTCAGATACTAGTTTTTTGATGATATTTTCTGTTTACCTCATCTGAATGCACCAAGGAATCAGAATTTTGAACTAGAAAAGATTCGAAACTCATCTGGGCCACTCCCCTCGTTTTACAGAGGAGAAAATGGATTCCGGTATCACTTGATATCCTTTCTCTCATAAATCCCACAGCCCTATTCTTATACCTTTCATTTGGCTTTTGGGGTCTCCCTTGACTTAATAAAGAGCAAGTCTCATCCCTTTGATGTTTATAAGCTCCGTGAAGGTGAGAACTATACTTTTGTTATCTTTATATTTCACTACACATAGTCCACATGGAATAACATTTTATTCAACTGAGCTGGGTGCAATGGCTCACACTTGTAATCCCAACACTTTGGGATGCCTAGGTGGGAGGATTGCTTGAGGTCAGGAGATTGAGACCAGCCTGGGCAACATAGTGATACCTGTCTCTACAAAAAGGTAAAAGAATAAGCTGGGTATGGTGGTACATTTCAGTGAGCTGAAATGGTGCCATTGTACTCTGACCCAGGTGACAGAGTGAGACCCCATCTCCAAAAGCAACAGCAAAACCTCACAAAATTTTATTCAACTGTATTGAATATTTTATCTGCTTAAGATTGTTTATTGGTGCGGTTCTGGGCGGGGGTATGGGGAGTGCAGCAGCAATGGCCAGCCACCTTGTGCTCAACAACGGCGCCAAGATGCCCATCCTCGGGCTGGGCACCTGGAAGTCCCCTCCAGGCCAGGTGACCGAGGCTGTGAAGGTGGCCATCGACATTGGGTACTGCCACATCGACTGTACCCGTGTGTACCACAATGAGAATGAGGTGGGGGTAGCCATTCAGGAGAATCTCAGGGAGCAGGTGGTGAAGTGTGAGGAGCTCTTCATCGTCAGCAAGCTGTGGTGTACGTACCATGAGAAGGGCCTGGTGAAAGGAGCCTACCTGAAGACGCTCAGTGACCTGAACCTGGACTACCTGGACCTCTACCTTATTCACTGGCCAACTGGCTTTAAGCCTGGGAAGGAATTTTTCCTATTGGATGAGTCGGGCAACGTGATTCCCAGTGACACCAACATTCTGGACACGTGGGCGGCCATGGAAGAGCTGGTGGATGAAGGGCTGGTGAAAGCTATTGACATCTCCAGCTTCAACCATCTCTAGGTGGAGAGGATCTTAAACAAACCTGGCTTAAAGGATAAGCCTGCAGTTAACCAGATTGAGTGCCATCCCTCCCTCACTCAGAAGAAGCTAATCCAGTACTGCTAGTCCAAAGGCATCGTGGTGACCGCCTACAGCCCCCTCGGCTCTCCCAACAGGCTCTGGGCCAAGCCCGAGGACCCTTTCCTCCTGGAGGATCCCAGGATCAAGGTGATCGCAGACAAGCACAATAAAACTACAGCCCAGGTGCTGATCCGGTTCCCCATGCAGAGGAACTTGGTGATCCCCAAGTCTGTGACACCAGAATGCATTGCTGAGAACTTTAAGGTCTTTGACTTTGAACTGAGCAGCCAGGATATGACCACCTTACTCGGCTACAACAGAAACTGGAGAGTCTGTGCCTTGGTGAGCTGTACCTCCCACAAGGATTACCCCTTCCATAAAGAGTTTTGAAGCTGTGGATGCCTGCTCGTCCATAAGTGACCTATACCTGTGTTTCCTGCCTCATTTTTTCCCTTGCAAATGTAGTATAGCCTGTGTCATTCAGCAGTGGGACAGCAACTTATAGAGTGGCCAGTGAGAGCATGTCTAGCTTGATGTTGGATCTGGCGAGGGCTGTCAGTAGAGTTGAAGTCTCTTCCAGTTTGCTTTGCCCTTCTTTTTGCCCTACTCCCCAGTAGTTTCCCCAACTACAACCTGAATACCCTTTTCTGACCAAAGAGAAGCAAAATCTGCCAGGTCAAAATGGTGCCGCTAACAGCTGAGTTTTGATCGCTTGGAACTGTAACCCTCTCAGCAAGACTTCTCTTTGCCTCAAATAAAAAGTGCTTTTGTGAGTTTAAAAAAAAAAAAAGATTGTTTATTAATTATAAATAACATTTTATCATAAAAACATTTTGATCAGCAACTGGGTGTTCCTTAAAAGTGATTTAAAATTTGTTTTTTTTTAAATAGTCCCAACTTACTACTGTTTGGAATAACAACACTGCTGCTCAGTGTGATTCAGCCTACATTTGGAATGGCTCACTAGAAATCTTAAAATACAGGAGTCTTAGATAGTTAACATTTCAAGA